ATGCCTTTCTTCATCCTTCGTGTCTTCCTACTCTTTATTATTCGTCTCCTCTCTCGTGGGCCAAAAGAACTTGAAGCATACATTTCTTATAATAGTGGCTCGGGGCATACTTTTCGTCACATAAAAAACATAAGTTCTTTTGCTCTTTATCCTGCACTTATACATCAACGAGGTGGTTGAAATTGCCCCTGGGATGAGTCTTTGCACTTTTCTCCTTTGACATCTCTTTCTGAAATACCATCTTCTAGGTCCTCAGTGTCATGACAATCGAAATACTCTTGTAGAATCCCCTGGTGGTGTTGGCTTTTCCTAGTTTTCTCTTATTTCCTATTTCTTGTCTTCCACCATCTGGGCGAGCTTTATCATTTCCCTCAATCCCTGTAGTCTCAAAGGTCAGAGGCTTCTTGGATGTTGGGCTTTAGGCCCTTCAAGAAGTTCTCTTCCAGTTCTACTGCAAAAATATCCTTAGCTGCCTTGACAAGTGCTCTAACTTCTCCTTGTATTCTTTGATCGTCCCCTCCTGAGTCAAAGCATAAAATTGCGTGGGTAGGTCTCCTTCTCGGATGACTCTGAATCATTCCAACTAGCAATCCTTAAACCCCTCTCACCAATATATCGCAGATTCCTCGCTTCGATCAACTGAACTCATTCTAGGGCTTTTCCCTCCAAACATAACCTATTGCAATGCGCTTCTCTTCTCTCGTCAACCCATTTACTACAAAGTATTGATCCACTCAATACACAAACCCGTGTGCATTTTCTCCTTTAAAGATTGACAACTTCAGTTTTCTTACACTCACATAACCACCTCAAATATCTCTCTAACGTTTCCCCCCAATGTGTTTAGGGTGGCACTCCCTCCTTCGGTCGTAGCCAATATCTCACCATCGTTTTTCTCCTTTCTTCGTCGTGCTCTTCCGTGCCCCTTGCACCACCCCTCCAATTTTCGGCCTACCCCCCTTCCATCAAAAGTTTTCACTCCCCCTCCTCTCGGAGTCCAGGGGGAAGCTCTTGGTTAGGGTTTGCAATTTGATCTCCTTTTCTTTTGATTTGACTAAGGATTTCATGATTAACTCTTGGTTAGGGTTTGCAATTTGAGTGGTTGGCAGGGCCTTGTATTGCATTTCAACGAGCCTCTTCATCATTCCTCGGATTTCTTCTATGCTCTCAATTTGATCATCCATTCAGCTCTCCATGAAAGAAAACATCTCCTCTATGGTGAACTTTTCTTCCATTCCCGATCTGATTTTTCATATTTCCTTTCAATATATCCACTTTCTTTGTTGTCAATCCTCCAAGATCTTACTCTTATACCAATTTGATACTCTCCAGAATAAAAATCAACGAATTAACAATAAATAAATTGCAATAGAGAGATTGGGAAACTCAGATGAGGGCTTATTTCACTAACACTAATAAAAGCAAAGAATATACAATGTTGATCTATTGTTTGAGAGGTAGATCGTCTCTCCATAAATCTGAGAAGCTGCTAAGAACACCACCTGAAAAGAAAGCAACAACCAAACAAAACATAAAAACAAAACCTATCCAATTAGATTTCATAAATACTGTTCAAGACGCCTTTCAAAATTCCCCCCAAAACCCCTCTTGATTCCCCTCCTTTTGTACGTGATTAATGGCTATGTGGGCCCCACCCAGGAGCTGTAATTGTCGTCTGTTACTCCTAGGTATTCCCCCCCATCCCCACCCCCAGGCTGAGCAAACCGGACCACTCGTTTGTAGGGTTGAAAATCCCGTCGGCTCTCTCGTCCGCAAGAGTCAGAGCGGCATTCGTACCGGACTTCCAATAACTTGCATTGGTCCCACTTCTCTCCTCCCTTCTTCCACCGCATTCACCTCGAATAATGTCTTTTGTATTCCATCCATAAGAAAAAAAACTTTATTTCACAATTTTACACTATTAATAATGTTTCTATTAAATTCTTACCCCATGCTATTATATGGACACTTGCCCATAGATGTCACTCCTGCACAAAGTAGCTTATCATTACCTTCACCACAACAACTTCCATTGATTTGTGGCATAATATCTGTCATCCATTCATCAAAAGACTATGGGTGCGTTTGGGGTGGCGGTGCGATGACCGTGTGGTGCTGCACCGAAGTTTTTTCTTATTTTGCAAAGCTGAGTTTTGCTTGCGTTCTCAAAAAGCTGCAGCTAATAGCTGCATTTTCTCACCAGACATGGCTACCTACGGTGGTTGCTAGAAAGCTGCAGTCAAACTTTAATTCTTTTTTTTTTTTGTAATAGTCACTGCAGCTTTTTGAAGACAGTTTCTTATTCAACAGCTTCACAACCACTTCTGCAAACAGCTGCTGCTGTTCCAAACAGACCCATGTCAGTTAGCCTTTCACTGTGATCTATTGTAGGACTCAAATGTATTCTTGGTTGTTTTTTATCCATTCTATTTCAATAGAACTCATTAGTTGCCATTCCATTCTTTGTTCATTTCTAGTTGGCATATGATTGAACTACAATATATGGATATTTGACCTCTTAATATTATATCATATGATGGTTAAAAATATTATGTTCTCTTTGTGACCGGTCTCTTTTTTATATATATGGTTCTACCCTCTGAAGCAAATCTGTGAAGTTCATGATCTTTTTTTCCATTTCAAAATTCCAGTTGAAGATTACTTTCAATGCACAACTCGCACCTTATACAATGATAACGGTGGTTAGTCCATCTCCCAGATCATTTCTTACATCTGATGGCATATTTTATCTGACAGCTCCGTCACACACTCCAAAACATAAGAGACTATCTGAATATTATCTGTCATTTTGTAGGAACCACAGTAACGCTACTACATTATGCTTATCCTACCCTTGCCTTTTGGCTACATGCCTTCTCCTTTGCAACAGGTCTTATTAATCACATGTCTACACCAACACACTGCTGTAATCTCCTTAGTAAATTATTTGGTCAATCTCCTAAATAAATGAAACTGAAAGTGTTCAGGTTTTCTGTTCATCTCCCAAATCTTTTCTTGCATCCAATGGCATATCTCATCTGACAACGCTCCCGCACACTCCAGAACAAAAGACTATTTGAATGTTGTCATTGTAATATTGTTGAATCTGCACTAACACTACTATATCAAGTTCATCTTTCTCTCGTCTTTCCGCCACATGCCTTCTCCATCACATGTTTTATTAATCACATGTCTACACCAACACTTTCCTCAATCTCCTTAACAATTTTTTGGTCAAACCCCAAATACATGAAACTAAAAGTGTTTGATTTCTTGTGTTTCTTATGACTCCAAATTTAACCCTTGTCCACTGTTATTTAAGGCGCTCATTCAATCGAAGTTCTTACATATGTTATGACATGACCAACACCATATCTCATCATGACCAGTTCGTCAAAATCATATTTCCTTTCTCTAAGACATTCATCCCCCAACAAAAATCGACATTAATTAATAAATTCTCCCCTCCACTCCATCTTGTTCAAATCTCTTTCATACTCAAAATTCATTATTTAATATTCTTTTTTAAATTCAAAATTTATCATCGCTGTTTTCATCGACTATTATGAAGGCTTCAGTCTTATCACCAAACCATTGACTCTCGGACTCATCCTTAACTTTGTGCTCTGTAATGGCTAGTCTCTCAAACAACTAGTGTCAACAATGCTTTCTTCACGGGCATCCCATCGTGGTCATCCACATGTGGCAACCACCCAGATTCCATTATCAGAATAATCTTACCTACATGTCACCTACAACGCATTATCTATAGTCTTAAACAAACTCCCCATGCATGATATCAACAGCTTTGACATTTCCTCCAATATATTGATTTTGTTAACTAATTATCTCATGCATCACTGTTTACCTACTCACACGATCATCTAACAATGTCCATTTTAGGCTGCATAGATGACATCATTCTTCTAAATAGTGGTGATGCTTTTCTTCAAAATGTTTCCATTCAGTTCGCTGTAAAATTTTCCATCAAAGATTTTAGTGAGCTCTTATACTCCCTTTGTTTGAAGTCATCCTTTTACCTTAATTTCTTTTCCTATCACAGAACAAATTCTGCCAAGATCCTTTGAGAAATATGTCCCCACACTAATTTCTCCAAATCACATATGCTCACAGTTTTTAGTAGCATTTCCTCACTGACACCACAGAGTATCATTCTCTATCGAGCGACGACTTTCAATACCTCTCTTATAAGACCAGATATTACCTTTGCTGTCCACAACCTCTCTCAGTTCATGCTTTGACCCAAAATCATGCAATGTGGGTTGTTTCTTCATCTCAACTATTCACCGTTGCGTGGTGGCTTCTCTAATGCAATCAGGTTGCCCATGGAGCCTTTCCTGATGATAATGTTCTCACTGGGAGTTCTAAGATACAACATATCATTATCCATTACTCCATAAAAGTACATTACCGTCCCATTGTCCTCTACACAACTTCATGAGCTAGGCATCACTTTATCCACCACTCCTTCACTTTACAATGATAATTTGAGTGCCACCTACCTATGTGTAAATCCATTCTTCCACTCGCGGATGAAACATATTGCTGCTGACTTTCACTCTTCGTTTACGAAAAAAATGGAGATATTTGTATCTCTCATGTGCCCTCTAATGATCAGTTCATAGATGACCTCACCAAACCTCTCTCTTGTTACCGGTTTGACTGTTTTAATATCAATATTGTGTCTCTATAAGGACTCTATCTTGATGGTTCGTATTAGAGAAATGAATTAAATTACTGTTACTCTTTTGGACTTTTAAATAAATTATCATTAATAAATTTGCGTCGAGTGCCTCTACATTAAAATTCCATTCATTACAAGTGACTAATTCATCCTTCTCTTCTCACAATTTTTTGGTATCTATATATACTATATAATACAATTGAAACATTGTTATTCCCATGCTTTACCTTCAACGGTTTTTTACCTTCACCTGAAAAATACTCAGTTCAGTTTCTTGATCTGTTCGACCTTTTAGATGCTGAGGAACTGCTCGGAGAAAATTAACATTGGCTTTATTCGATACGAGCAATCAAGTAAGTGTAAGAGCATGAAAGACAGCAGCGTCAGCTATGCATCGGCTACGGCTAAGCTGGAGAGCGGAAACAGGTAAAAGGATGTGTTCTGATCCTGACCATCATCCTTTTTATGTCTATCAACTGTATTGTATCATATCTTTTAGATGATAATGTAACATAATTCTATTAAAAACTTGTTTATGAGGTTCTCCTGCCATCACCCTCTTTCATTATTTGCATAGTTTTTTTTTTCGTTTTGTGTGAAAAGATAAATACTTTTGGTTTTTAAAATTTGGTTACCAGACTCTCACAAGGTGTGAAAGTCTGAGGTCAATGCCCTGAGATGAATGGGAAATTGTTGCGAAAAGTTATTTGAAGGCAGAGAATGAAGAGGGGAGAGGGTTGGTAATTGGGGAAGGCGTACTTTAGTGATTGGTAGCTAGGAAAAAAAAAATCATTTGAGCGTATTTTCTTTCGCTATTTCTTGATCTTGTTTGTGCTTCTATACTTCAATGAAAAGCACATCTACTTGGTATTTCACACCTCAAGATTTGCTAAGTATATGACCATTAGTTATTGGTGATACCAATTAGTTTGATTGGTGAAGCTTTTGTTAAGTTTCGACCGGCCTGTTGGGATTTTTTTTTCATTTTTTATAAAAATGATTATGAAGGTGTTATTTGGGGAAGCGACTTTTTCTTATGATTGATGGATAATATAAATATTAAAAAAAAATCAGATGACTTTCTTACATCTATCAACCCTAAACCCTAAACCTTCACAATTAATAAATTCGGTTCACAAAAGAAGCTTACAAGTACAGTTTTCTGAAATTATACAAGAGAATAACTGCCAAATAGACTTGTGGTAGTGATCTAAAAAGTAAAGTAAAATAGTGAGAGCGATTCAAATAGATCTTAAATTTTATCCGCATTAAGTTTTCGCACTGATTTTCATCGAACGAGGCGAAAGAACACCTCCAACACTATAGTTGGGATATGTGTAATTCTTGATATTTTCGTTAGTTTGAATCGTGAATCTGGTGAGTCTATTGATTTGTCTGGCTGCATTATATTTTTATCAGTTTCTTCGCTCCTAAGGAGGGTCGTAGAGTTAGGCTGGAGAGTTCGGTTTATATGAGTCGAGTTTTGTGCACCTATTTGTGTGATTTGAAGTCTAACCCGGTTTTAATTGAGCCAATTGTTGAGTCAGTTGAGTTGTGCGGATCCTGTGTGGAGCTGTGGCTCGTTCACTGATTTCGTCACGAGTCATTGGTTTTTAACTCAGCTCTCTTTGATGAATTGAGTTTACTTTATAAAGACTCGAGTCTATGTTAGAAGCGCATGGTGTTTATTCTCTTAAAAATTAAGTAGATAAATCAAGTTAATTATTTGAGATACAGGTGAAATTAATATTTGTTTTGACATTGACCAACATTGTTTAATTGGTCATAAAAGACTATAATGTGGTTAATGGTAAAAATGCAGTATAATTTCGGTGTTTGGCAAAATAGAATTTTTTTAGCAACGAAGTTTCTTATTTTGATTTGAATTTGATTGTGTAGATTGCCAAGGGAACAGTTGGCGTAATTTTTAATGGTGATGCAATAAAATTATAAAAATCAATGTGTGATAAATTTTTAATTAGTTTATTAATTTACAATAGTATTGAATCCAATTATGTTCTTGGAAGCACACTCAAGTTTTAGAGCGTAGGACGAACAAGGGAAACATAGAGAGGGTGATTGAGAGAATGAGAGAATGTGTGTGTGTGAGAGAGAGAGAGAAAGAGAGAGAGAGAGAGAGAGAGAGAGCACTAACATGAGTTATGATAACATAAATCCAATAGTTCATTTTTAGAGAAATGACTCCCTATTTCTAGATTTTAGGGGCATACGGTGTAAAATTACATGTCTGTTTATATTTTAATAGGAACGTTGCACGTTAATACGACACCTTTTCACATTAGTAACCAACTTCAACACCCTTTCATTTTCATAGCTGATATTAACACTGTTTCATATACATAGCTGATTGAAGAGGAGCATATAAAGCATGGTGGTATACATTTCATTTCGTTAGTTGATAGCCTTTGGTTAGTTGACAAACATTCGGTCGGCTGAAAGGTTGTTAGTCGGCCCTTTTAATAGAATCCTAAGTATAGCCCTCCTGCGTTAGTTTGAACTTGGGCCATCTTGCAGAGGGTGTATTATCATAATTTGACGGGCAGCTCTCCTTAGACAAGGGACCTACTCAGAGGATAAAAAAGTCTTTTTGTGGGGTACCCTTTGGCCGTGTTTGCGAGGAGTTTTAGAATGTATTGAGGGAGTTGGTCATTAATGATCGTCCCTTAGATGGGTGCCTTCTATTTTTTCTTCGACTGTGCTTTCATTTGGTTGGCTCAAAGTTCCAAGCTTTTTGTACCTACAGTCCCTATAAATGGGTTATGATAAGCACTTCTCCATCACTTTTTATGAGTATTTTTTGCCCTTGAGTCGGTTATTAACCAGAGGGATATTATAGAGAGTAGCAAGAAATCTTCTGCTGAGGAGGTAAATGAGATAGCCATGATGAAGACCATTAGAATTTCAACAAAAAATTTTTCCCTCTCAAGGATGCTTGGGAGAAAAAAAAATCAGATGGTTGCAGGCCTGTGGTAAAGAGGAAATGGGGGGATGAGGGTTGGCCAGTAGTAACAAAAAGGCCAGAGGGAGGAGGCCGACTGGTCGTCACAGAGACCGGAAAGAGGAAACCGATCAGAGGGAGAAAAGTGGGTCAAATAGATGGCCCATAAGAAATAAAGGGTGGGGGAATGGAGGAGGTGGCTGAGTTATCCGACTCAATGTCGCTCCAACATAAGATGGGGAGCAGGGTAGACGTTCACCCCATTGGTGTGATGGTCCTCACCCTTGCATCGATGCGTGAATGACTATCTGAACAACCTGTCCAAGTTGTCGTAGAGACCCATGTTTATTCGTGTGAGGGTGTTTCGGTCAGTAAGACCAGCCAGGAGATTGTCCAACCCCTTCTTGGTGAGAGCCTCCAATTGTTTGAAATGGAACGAATCATTAGGCTATAAACCCCAATTATCTTTGAGCATATTTGATTCTTGTTTTTTTTCTGACATTTGATTTTGGTGATGGGAATCGACCATTCCCCGGTTATAGAGGCGGCTAAGTGACTGTCTGCTCAAGCCCATGTCGTAGGTGCCTTCATACAATTATCTGGTCTTGAGGACATCGAGAGGGAGACCAATAGTCGGCGAGGTTCATCGGCATCGTTGGTGCACCTGTTGGATGAAACAGTGGACTACTTCATATGGGAAGCTGGCTTACAGAGGGAGATTGCCATAATGGGCCCGAAGTAATAATTAGAGGCTCTTTGCTAGGAATATATGGTCGGGTTGGCAGTACTCCGAGCAGACCTGTCGACTCTCTGGACGGAGCTGACAGAAGACCATGTGGCTTGTTCTATCTTTTGGGTTTGGGCGAAGAAACAGAGTGTTGAGAGATTCATCTTTGTGGGGCAAGCCTTATATCAGATTTGCGGCGTTTCAAATTCCCTTAATATCTGATATATAATGGTCAAAGGAAAAGTTGGATTTAAGCTTTTCAAATCTCTTTTTTCATCCCTTCAGTCGTTTCTTATCTCTTATTTTGAGTTGGTTTACACATGGCTTTTAAGTATTCTCCACAACTATTTGGTTAGATACCAGTGAGCAAAAGGTCTTCCCTTACTTCGTTTGACATGGAGCTTAATGAAGATACCTATATATGCAACACAAGTATTGTACTCGACGTAGTGGAGTCGGAGATGAGGGTGACTGTTGACTTTGGCAAAGGTCTAACCTTCTAGTAAGACCAATTTTGGTGGAGGCTTTGACTTCCATTCTGTCACGAGATTTGGTTGATTCTTGATCATCCTCACCCAAATAAAGCTGAATTCAATCACGACTTTGATGACCTTCATTATCTACTTGCAACAAATCGAGATCCACCATTCCATGAAGTTATTCTCATACATGTTCTCTTTCAGTGTAGAGCCTGACTGTTATGTTGTTTTTGGATCGACTCAAAAGTTCTGTTTTGTCGATTTTAAGAGCAAGATTAAAGATTGGAAGTTTTGGCTCCTTTGGGGTATCTACGAAGTCTGGGGGATCACCACATGGCTTATTGGAGAGAATTGCACGAACAAGGGAACCCCAAAGTGGGTTTTTGGGTATGCGTCGATTTTCATTAGCAAATACCTATTAATTATTTAGTATATTGGCTCCATGATAGTGAACCGATTATTGGAACCTATTTAGTTTAGTGTCATGACTTGAGTTGTGGGTTGCTTTGGATGTGACAGAGGAGAAGAGGTAGACTGAGAAGATTTCTTGGCTTTCTCATAAGGAGATAAGGAAAAGGAAGGGTGTTGGTTCCAAAGCCAGGATGGAAGAGGTCGAGGAAGAGGACGATCAGATGTAAAGATTGTCTCAGGTTAAGAACTGATTCACACTTTTTTTGAAATATTAATAGTTATTTAAAATATTATCACCGGAGAATTAATCTTGATCGAACGAAAATCAACTTTAATGAAATTTGGGACTTCGAGAGAGCTTTGTCAAAAGGAGCACACTCCCAATGTTATTAGATCAGATGTTGAGGGGTCTTCAGAGCGACCATCAACCGAGGGAGCTCCTAAGCAGTCTTCCTCGGGCTTCACCCCTCTATATAAGAGAAAGGGGCCAGTCAACTTTTTCCTTGGTCACCGATTACATCAGTGGAATAGGTGGAAGTGGATTTCCTACAGGAAACCCCATCCTGAGATGGGGAGGTTGAGCCGAAATCTGCTCCAAAATGTGGGTTGAAATTTTCTAAAAAGATTAGCGTCAGAGGAAGGCAAGACTTCGGCTGAAGATTCTGACTCTTCTTTCCTTTTATCTGTAATGAATTATCATATAAAGGTAAAGGCTACTAGAGTCCACTGCAGGAGGAGTGGCTGAATGTCTTCCTTAGCCTAAACTCTAGATTTGTTGTAATAAGTGTGCCAAGTGATTGGTTTCTGCAAGCTCTGGGAATGGATGAGTAAGCGCAGACCATCGATAATGTGCTTTGTTCGAAGGGCTTACAAAAGTTACTAAATAATCTCCGACCCAAAGGCTTATGCCACATAGTCGATCAATATCAGCTGCTTGGACTTGCAACCACACACACATGTCGTCTGTCCTGACCTGCAATCACGTAGCTTTTTAATATTGCA